ACCTCTGTGAGGACCATACTTCCCCGCCCCCCCCCCCCAGTAGCTAGCAGTCCAGTGGAGCCTGAGCAGTGGGTGTTGCCTTCTGACACACGTCCGGTGATGTCAGGGGGTATGGCATATGCAAATAAATTATGCTAATGAGTTATGCTAATGAGCTCATGCACCTCTTTTTCTACGAAATGACCCCTGCCCTCAACTACCTGGATACCCCCTGCTGCTGCTGCTGCTACTTCACAGGCCCCTCTCCCTCCTTGTTGGACTTCTGCTGCATGGATTCCCTGTGATTCTCAGCTTAGGTCAGGTAGTATCACTCTTCAGAATCTCCTCCCCTCATCCTCTCCTCTTTCTTAGGTTTGCATGTGTGCGTACATTTATTGGGATGGAGACAATAGTTTCATTCTGGGTTTTACTTGTGTAGCTGTATTTGTGGTTTTAAAGGGCTTGCAATTTTATCTGTGGTTTTAAAGGGCTTGCAATTTTGTGATTTTAAAGGGCTTGCCATTTCAGTTTACCTCTAGTTGTGTGTCTGAGTGTTAGTGAATAAAGATGTCATTTAGTTTGAATGATTTGGTCTCTGTTACTCTTATTCTTGGGAATATTGCGCAGGAATAAAGCCCCTGTATACAGTACCAGGAAAAGACCCCTTGTTTATCTGCCTGGAGACCCTGTAACAAGCTAATTTCCCCCTCTCTGGGTCCAGTTTGGGTAACAATACTAAGAAACCGGAACCCTTCGTGTCCTTCTGTGAAGCACTGATGAAGCCGGAATGGAATACTGTGTTCAGGTTTGGTCACCCATGTTCAAGACCAACGTGTTCAAACTGGGGGCAAGTAGGGGGGGAAGACTGAAGAATGATATGAGCAGAAATGTTAAAAAGCTTCATGGCCATTCCATGAGTGATGTTAAAAGCACAGCTGGTTAACATTATGCTGTCTTCATAACAGTCAGTTCTTGATTGTGTGTTTCAGGAAACAAGACAATGACAGCATCAGGGTGAGCACTCTCTGTCACAACCCACAGTTCCCTGTGGAAAACGTTATGGTTCCTAAGTATAACACATCGCAGTGTGTTATGGTCCGCCAGCACAATGAGGATGGGATATTTTACATCTGCGGCTGTGTGAATGAACAGGAATGCAACGACAAGCTTGTATTTAAAAACCAGACCAATGGTGAGTAATGGTGGTGTGCATATACACAGTTTGAAAAATAATAATTCAGCTCTCAAGGAATGAGGCCCTAAGTCAGAATTAAAGAAAAAGCCCACCCCACTATGGAGAGACTTTTATCTACACGCATATCCTCCCAACTGCTGGTTTTGTTGTTGTTCAGTCGCACAGTCAAGTCCGACTCTTCGCGACTCCATGGACCAGATCACGCCAGGCCTTCCGGTCTTCCGCCGTCCTCTGAAGTTTGCTCAATTTCATGTTCGTTGCATCTATGACACTGTCTAACCATCTCATCCTTTGCCGTCCCCGTCTTCTTTGACCTTCAATCTTTCCCAGCATCAGGGTCTTCTCCAGTGAGTGCTCCCTTCTCATTGGGTGGCCAAAGTATTTGAGCTTCAGTTTCATTATCTGGCCTTCCAGGGAACCGTCAGGGTTGATTTCTTTTAGGATTGACTGATTTGATCTTCTTGCAGTCCAAGGGACTCTTGAGAGTCTTCTCCAGCACCATAGTTCAAAAGAATCTATTCTTCGGCGCTCGGCTTTCCTTATAGTCCAACTCTCGCAGCCATACATGACTACTGGGAATACCATTGCTTTCACCATGCGGACTTTTGTTGGCAGGGAGATGTCTCTACTTTTTATCATGCTGTTTAGGTGCGCCATCGCTTTCCTCCCAAGGAGCAGGCGTCTTTTAATTTCATGGCTGCTGTCACAGTCTGCAGTGATCTGGGATCCCAGGACAAACATGGGTACACTGAAGATATATTTCACAATTAAAATATGATTGGATGCTAAGGAAGACTGCCCTCTTCCTGCCATCCATATGTTTTCATGAGGTTGTTGCATTCTCATTAGGACGTTTCAGGGCTAAACCAGACATTACTGTCAGCCACGAGTTTGACCTGAGGCTGCTGCCGCCATTTTAGGGAAGAATTTGACCACTTAAAAATGCCACCGTTTGCAGAAACCCAGTGATCTTGTTCCCTCCCATACCTTCCCAAGCGCTGGATCTGCAAGGGGAAGCAAGATTACCTGGTCCCCCCCCCCTACACACACACTGCAGGCCCAAACATGGTATTTTTAAATGGGCAGATTCTTCCCTAAAACGGTGATGGAAGCCACAGGTAAAGTAGCTCGAGATCTCCCACTATAAGAACCGATTCCATGTGTTGTACGCACAGTTTATGAAATTGTAATGAATTTTTAGCCAGAGCATTGTAGCCTGCTTAGTTTCCAAGATCTGATGAGATTAGGTTAGCCTTGGGCTATCCAGGTCAGGGAAGGAAGGTCAAATTAGATGGCACCCAATATGGCATTCAGGAGAGGCTTAGTATGGGCAACCGGCCAGGCAAAGCACACCTCTGCGGGTTTTGCTACCTCCGTGCCTCTGGTCAGAAACAATCCAGTCCAACCAGCTACTAAATGGTGCTGGTGGCAAGAGGAGAAGAAAATCAGAGACTTTATTTATTTATTTATTTTTCATATTTGTACCCCGCCCTCTCTCCCTCCTCTGTGAGGGCAGATCTGCACAAATTCTCTCCCCCCTCCCAATAGCTAACAATCCAAAACAGTCCAGTGGAGCCTGAGCGGTGGGGTGTTGCCTTCTGACACACTTCTGGTGATGTCAGGGGGTGTGGCATATACAAATGAGTTATGCTAGTAAGTTATGCTAATGAGCTCCTGCACCTCTTTTTCTACGAAATGACCCCTGAATTCAGGTATTAACTTTGGTCCATTTGTTACTGTTGTTTGGATGGATGCCGGGAGGGTAAAATCCTGAACGAACAAAACGTTAACTTGCTGTTTTACTGAGGCTTGCGGCCTCGGGAAACCTATTAACTGCGCACGTGTCAGCCTAGCTAGAATGAAGAACAATAAGCGCCCTGTAGCCTTATCAGTTATATAGATACAATTTAGAGCTTCATGGTTTAAGAAGAAGAGTTTACTGTTCAGCTAGAAAAAAGAAACCTTACTTGGGAAAGCCCAGCCCAAAAGGTTTTCTGCCAGCCAGAGACCTGTTAGGTCAGAGTGCTGGTGTTTGATGGAACCAGGAATCTTGTTTTATTTGTGTGTGTCATCTCATGAGTATAAAATCCTGTCACACATTGTAACCTCGGAGACGCTGGTTGGTATCTGAGGGGGCCAACCCCTGTTTATTTGGTTTCTCCCTGTTCATCGATTAACAATAAAAAACCTCTGTTACAGTTTCTTCCTTCACAGGACTGAGAGAGTGTGTTTCTCAAACTGTGTTCCCTCTAAGCTGAGTTAGTGTGAGCCAGCTCACAGTTTTTTAGCCTTTGGCTCAAACTGGAACCAGGGGAAACACAGAGGATTTGTACTACACCTGTGACAGACACATGGCACTGAAGTCCCTCCCCTCCCCCTGACTCTGACACTCTCCCACTGCCTGCCATCTCCACTGGTCCTACACGCCAGTGACGCTGGGTAATGGGTGCAGCTGGGGGTGCCACCGCCATGGCCACCAGGAGAGCTTCTGCTATGTGTACCATCCACACGCCCTTCCCTAGCAGAACTAGGCAGTGTATGCAACCGGGATTGTGTGTGAGAAAGCACTCACAAGCAGGCAGGGGAAGGGTGTGAATGGGGGGGCGTCTAGAGTAACACACTAAGTCACACATTTTATCTCTGCTCCCAGAAAGACCCCTTCCAAATCAAAACGCACCATTTTCCCACTCCCACCTTTTCGGAGGTACACCCAGACCACGGAAAAGTAGCTGAGTATATTATGACAATCTTGCTAAGATCAAAAGATGTCCCACTGAGCAATGTTCTGGTGCCCTCTCCGTTCTTGTATCATCTGATCTCGACTAATTCATTTCTGGCAGAGGCGGCTCTTGGAAGCCCAAAGAAATATGATGCAGTGGTTCAGTTTTCTTTACCAGTCAGCATTTGTTTTCATAGGGAACGGTCTGACCGATATTTCTGCAGGCTCATTTAACGATCACCCCTGTAAACTGAAGACTTTGCAACACAGGGGGCAGCATACTTAAGCTGCTCATGCGATTTATGTACAGAGCCATTTCCTCAGTGCTTGCACATTTAACTCCTTGAAAATATTCTGGAAACATTTGGCTTTCCGTTGAATATCAGAGCTTCGATGATGGGGTCATACCCATCAGGTAAATCCATTAAAGTATGGGATGTGATAGCCATGCCTCGTGCTTTCCAAAACAGACTTTGCTATATATATAATTTGAGATTGATCTTGCAGCTTGAACCCTATGCCTATTTTAGAAACATTCACAGCTTTGCAGAAGTTTAGCTGCGGCAGATTTTTTGTTTTGTTTTGTGGAAAGTGCCAAGTAAACCAGCCAAGTGCTTCAGGTTTCTTTTTCCAGTATGTGAATCGTAGGCTGCACCCGCTGAGGTCATACAGCCAGTGGCTTTTTTTTTACAGGACAATTCTTGAACATCTCCCTTTTCTTAGCTATTACATGTGGCCAAAACCCCTCTCAACAACGTTTTATTTTAATTTCATGGCTAGCAATGAGAAAAAGGCATATATCAAAAGGATGGTCCAATTTTATTCAGTATTCTTTCCTCAGAATAATCTGATAATTAATAACAGGGCCGTTTGATATTTCAAAAGGCCTGGAGCCAATGTTTCCATACTGTTCTCTTGTGTTTCCATGTACATGATCTAGTAGCTGAGTTCTCGCAAAGACTATTAATTACAGGCAGCAAAGAGATTTTGGCTCTGTCATCCCGAGATTCATATGCAACAGCTTTGTACTTAGACACGCCATTGGTCCATCTAACCCAGCGTTCACTCTGATTGGAAGGAGCTCTCTTGGGTCTCCGGAAAGGGCCTCTCCCAGCCTTGATATCAGAGATCCAGGGACTGAAGGGGATCTTCTATATGCGAAGCATGTGCTCTGCCACTGAGCTATGGCCCCTTCCTGGCTCAGGTTTCTCAACTTGGACACAGGGGCAGAGTTATGTTATGAAAAGCTGTTCTGTGTTAGCATGTTTACATATGCAGAGATATTCTTGCCATCTCTTCTTTCCCCCCTTTTCCTTTCACCCCAGGGTACTCTATGTTACAAAGCAAGGAAATAATTCCCGTGGCAGCCATCAGTCTGCTGCCCCCCCTGCTAGTCGCCATCATGATAACCGTGATATTCTACCTCTGCCGAACCCACAGGCAGAGGAAGAGATCTAAAGACTGGGCCCAGAAACAGACTCAGCGCCACATGCTGCCTGAATCCAGCAGAGCCAGCAACTACGACGAGATATTATCTGTCAAGACAGACCACCACGCCACCCTGAGCTCAGCCTGTGCCAGCAACATCAACCACAACACTGAACTGTTGCCCATTGAGCTGGATGAGAGAGTGGGGAAAGGGCAGTTTGCTGAAGTCTGGAGAGCAAGACTCAAGCACGCCTCATCCAGCCAATATGAGACCGTGGCAGTGAAGATTTTCCCTTGTGAGGAGTATGCCTCCTGGAGAAACGAGAGCCAGATCTTCACTGATATCAACCTTAAGCACGGCAGCATCCTTCAGTTCCTCACAGCAGAAGAGAGGCACTCCGGCCTCCAGAAAGAATATTGGCTCATCACAGCCTACCACAGTCAAGGAAACCTCAAGGACTACTTGTCCAGGCACATTCTGAGCTGGAGAGACTTGCAAAAGATGGCCGGTTCTTTAGTCAGCGGTGTGGCTCACTTGCACAGTGACTACACTCCTTGTGGCAGTCCAAAGGTCCCCATTGCCCACCGGGACATCAAAAGCACCAACATCCTAGTAGCAAACGAACACGAATGTGTGCTCTGTGATTTTGGGATTGCTCTGAGGCTAGATCCAGCCTTGAGTGTGGAGGACTTTGCTAACAGCGGGCAGGTGAGTACCGAAAAACAACTAAGCCATTTGTTCTGCTTGATGGAAAGCAGAACAGCCCCCAGAATGCCAAATCAGCTCTACGATAATGGATTGTTTGCAGTGAGAAAAAGCTCACTGTAAGATATCGGCACACTTTAAATCCCCCATGCAGTCAAATTTAAGGCCAGCCCTTTTCTGATTTCTTTGGAGCAGGTCTTTGGCATGAACCACCGGCAGACTTTGTACCAAAGGCCTGTCTTCTTCAGTAACTTCAGAGGAGCTTGAAAAACTCTCTTCCATCACCAATCCATGTCCCTGTGTGCCTCCTCAACTGCAGTTTATGACGCCTTTCCCCCTTCCTGCAATGGGAAAGAATACAACTGGAGTAATCACTGGCCCAGCGGGGGTGGAGGGTGTCTTCCAAAACACAAATGGCAGCAACAACAGCAGGGGTTTTTATTGATAGCCTATGATTGTCCCTGTTGCTTGAAATGAGTAACAAGAATGGATTCTTGCAGGGCTTTTTTTGTAGCAGGAGCTCCTTTGCATATTAGGCCACACACCCCTAGTGTAGCCAATCCTCCAAGAGCTTACAGAGCTCTTCTTACTGGGGCTACTGTAAGCTCTTGGAGGATTGGCTACATCAGGGGTGTGTGGCCTAATATGCAAAGGAACTCCTGAGAGCTCTTCTTACTGGGGGTACTGTAAGCTCTTGGAGGATTGGCTACATCAGGGGTGTGTGGCCTAATATGCAAAGGAGCTCCTGCTACAAAATTTCTGCCAAAGACTCTTGCAAGCTGCATCAGCAATTGAATTCCTAACTGATATCCTAATCTTCAGTCTCATGCATGTATGCGCCATCTCTTTCTCCCTCTCTCAGCAGTTGCAGGGTATCAGGCTAGCCTTCTGGGGACTAAGCTGCAGCCTTGTTTACGGAACCTCCGTCTCTTAATTGGAAAGCACAGATCTCCTGGGCTCCAAGCAGCTTCAGCGACTCTCTTCCAATTGCATGCTTAGTGAAGGCTTGAAAAACAAAACCCAGTATAATTGAGGAGCGGTACCTTTTCCCCAAGGGGCTGTGGTGGCTCAGATGGTTAAGATGCTGAACTGCAGGCCGGAAGGTCGGTAGTTCAGCAGTTCGAGACCTGAGTGCTGCATGACGGAGTGAGCTCCCGTCTCTGGCCCCAGCTCCTGCCAACCTAGCAGTTCGAAAGCAAGAAATTGCAAGTAGATAAATAGGTA